GCCTTTTTCCCACTAGGTTCACCTGAATTATTTAAACAATAAAATACATGTTTTGGTGAAAATAATGATAATGTCTACTTCGCATCAAACTTGACACTTTATAAAACAATGAATAAGGTACTGTGCTTAAATCATACTATTCTGAAAGACACAAGCTAACGATAAAATAATTGAACTTGTCCATACAAGTACGGTCGCTGGCTTTGACTTCAGGACTTGCATTTGGCATCTGTGACTGCTCACGTGGCAAATCACGTGGGGGTGGCGTAACAGGCACTTCCGGTTGGGACACCCTCTGTCGTCTGCTTTCTGTGATATTAAGAACAGCCTCGACCAAACTCTCTGCGCTGTGGAAATCGTCGCCGGTGGTCCTTAACCGCTGTTCGACGGCATTTTGAACGCTCAGACGTTCGAAACCAAGTCCCAGAACCAGCTGTACCAATTCCGTGTCCATTCTGGCTTTTATTTCCCTTGGCTCCACGTCATATGGTCTGGCAGCACGGCCTGTAGGACTCTTAAGGCAGATAACGAAATTGAATAATATTTAAAAGAAAAAAATAAAATAAAGGTAAGTTACTGGACGGACTCTATATGGTTTATTATGAAATGGTGAAAACTTGTCTTTAATTTCAATGAATCATATTATATCAAATAATCTAAAATCTTAAAATGTTTTCACCAAAACTCTTTGCACATATCTAACCAAACCATCTTTTCATTTCGTGCAGTTTTTTTTTTATTTTACGGCAATACTTTTAGCTATTATTTTATCAGTCGGAGATTTTACTTAATCATACTTGGTACGTACTTGCGAACCAAACTCAGAGGCTTCCAAAGCAGATGCCAACCTTCCGTAATACGAGGATGAGCTGTTGCCGGTACTCTCGCGTGACCTCTGCTCCCGTGCGAGATTTGGAAATGGATCCGTCATACCGTCTGCCAAAGTTTCGTCGAAGCTCCTTTCATACAGCGGCACATTCCTGGGATCATCGCCATTGGCTTGACGGCAACTTGGGAAGCTTCGGCGATGTTTGTCCTGTGGATCGTTGCCTTTTTGCCACTGTTTTAAATGTCCTCCGCAACTGAAGCAGACTACTTCATCACCCTTTCCAGTATAATATAAACCAGCTCGCGCAAGTTTGAGCGACGAGGCTGGAGATGCTGGAGGCCAATTCCTAAAGCTGTTGATGCGATTGGCTTCGAAACGGTATTCCCCTTTCTGACCATCGGATGATTCGCCCTTGGCGGTATGATGACGACCTAGCTCGTATCCTGGCAGCACTTGTTTAATCGAGAAGAATGTGAATCTCTTTCGTAGTTCAAAGAAATGTCTCGGTAAGAGTTTCGGCTTCGTGGGAGTTACAGGAATTTGTTCAGTTTCCTTTGATGTAAATCGGTATTCTGGTGTTTCCTGGCCGCCGTTGATTTGCAGGTTTTTGAAAAACAATCTGGTAACTTTCTGTATGCTCATCCATCTTTTGTACAGACAGGACGCGTGGGTTGATTTACATATTATGAGTGTTGCTACCAGCATGTTCAAACTTCTGAAACATGTTAAAGACAACACAAGTCTTATCGCGAACTCCAGAGTGTGTTCACTTGTACTTAGGAACCCGCGGCCGTCTGAATACCCTCTGTTCTCCAATTCAGTTTCTAATCCGTGAGTGCGCTGAGCGATGTTTAGCAATTTGGTGCGTGTTGAAGTCGGCAAGTAGCCAGGAATTTCATCCCATATTATAAATGGGCAACAAAGACAGGTTCTGTCTTCGGTTCCAGTTTCCAATTTCCTGGTGGGCATGGTCTCTTGTACATTAACTAAAATATAAGATGAACATTTAAAATGTTTAAGACAGATTTATTTAAAGGGATTATCCTGGGATGAACAACGATCTTCCCATACCAACCAATGGTAAATTAATCCATTTCTTTACATTCAAAGTTAGTTAGTTCAAAGTTACAGCGAAATAAAGGTTGAAAGGTAAACTCTGAGCAAACAGACACTTAAAAACTTTCATGATATAAACAGAATATTTCATATTTTTAAATGAAGAGCACTTCTTAACATCTATAGCTTTAAGCTTAATTATTTGTTAATCCATGTACGTGAGCACATGCAACGATTTATACAGTTTATAAGCAAATTATCTCACACTGACCCTTAACGTTCACTGTTGACAGCAGAGATATTATTGACGTCATGAGCACGATTGAGAGACACAGTGACAGGGTAAAAATAAGATGCATGGTTCTGAAAAGACATTTGATATTAATTGATAAGACGGAATAGGCAACAACAATAACAACAACTACTGCTACTACTACTGCTTCTACTACTACTACTACTTCTAGTATAAATTATTATTATTATTATTATTATTATTATTATTATTATTACCTGAAGAATAAACGAAGAGTGCAGACCTCTGACAAGTGCAGAAGGTCAGGTCACAGCTTGCAAATGTCGTCTGCTACGTGTACAGTTGAAATAGTTTAATTAAGAGGTAATTGCTACTTCTTGTATAGCTTGTATAGCTTGAACTAAATTAATTAAATTAAATTGCTACTTCTTGTATAGCTTGTATAGCTTCGATGAAGGTCGCATTTCTATGATAATCCGTATCACCCCCAAAATTTAATAATTTCTTCCTTGGCCAATTTGTGGTCTATACTGAAAATTTTATTAGAACCCTTCCATGACTTTGTTCATAACTCTGGGAAGACAAACAAACAAACTGTCAGAACCAAAAACATAACCTCCTTATCGGAAGAAGAAGAATAAAAACTATAAGAAAAAAATAATAACATTCCTCAGGGAGAAGAGATTGCCCCAGTATGTATTCACCATGCGTCTAGCTGTATATCTCACTATCCTGCACTATATTTCACATAATTCTACAAATCAATTACCTTTTATTGCAAATAAACGTTATCATAAAGGATACTGTAAAGGTTTCTTATCATCCAGATGACGAAAACGAGGTCTTTCCTGCATTTATTTATTTAATTATTCAACTAACCTAATGGTGATTTAAAACAATAAAAATCTCCTTGAAAACATTAAATATTGGCGTTTATGTTTCTCATTTCTATCTTGAGTAAAGTAAACCTTTTATCGTCACATTAACGCCCTAATACTTTTGGGTGAGATAGGGATCAGTATGAGTCGTAACTTCAACACTGAGCAAGATTTTATCACAAACATTGGCATATTTGATAAAAAGCGTATGAACTTCAATCCCATGCCGTCGTTTTTATATACGTTTTGTTATGGGGCTATGAGTCCCAAACAACATATTTTCATTAACCAAATGCGTTCTTTATCAACGATAAAATCCGAACAAAGGCATTTGGGAAAAACCCCTGGCTGGATTTTGGAGTACTAAATTGTGTCACTACATTGGGGGTAAAATGGTGTTCGTGGGTGCTCAAGTAAAGGAGACATTTAAGAAACCGTTTTTTTACACTCAAATAGAGATTATGACGTCACTCGTAAGATGACATTGTTTGCAAATGTTAATTAAATTAATTACTGAACACTTAAGATTAATCTGTTATCCCCGAAAAAATGTATATAAGACAATAAATACAACATTTCTGGCACACGCTTACAGTATCCTTAATTGCTTCAGTCACATCTTGTAATCTCACCTAACACATCTTTCTCCAACCGGTAAATGATTTAATCACAAATTTACACCGTTACAGCCAGCAGTTGCCTTAAGTACAGTCATTTTTTCAACACAACACGGCAATTAGACTTTTTTGGCATGAACTGAGTTGGCTAAAAACAGTACACCTTTGTAAACATATTGTTGAATAATTGTCTGGTGGCCATGAGTGCATTTTCTCACAGAATTGATACCAACTTTGCAATTATTTTTNTTTTTAAAATTTTTTTGTGGGCCTTAGTGTATTTTTTCCCAAAAATTTTATCCACCTTTCCATTTTTTTTTTCCCTTTCGGTTTTTTTTTTTTCCCCCCAAACCCCCGGGGGGGGGCCCCCCCCCCCCCCCCCCCCCGGAGGCTACGGCCCTGCTGAGTATCTTAAAAAACATTAGATACCAAATAGGTCAGTCGATCATGAATGGCGGATCGGAGAGAGAGAGAGAGAGAGAGAGAGAGAGAGAGAGAGAGAGAGAGAGAGAGACCAGTCACAATTGAGTGATCCATGTGGAATTCAAATCATTATTAACTTTATTCCCTTAGGATCTGTAAGTTGAATAAAATCCCTTGACAGAGGTAACTAACAATTGGACTTGGGCTTAAAAAAATTACTGGAGAATGTGAACGACTGACGAGTGATATGTTTTTCCATGGAATTATTTAACTGCAACTTATTCTAATGTTTATTATATTTGTATTTGCCTATGACTTGTATGTGGCTTACTTTTCTCAATTCCGCACCGTGTGAAAATATTATTATTATTATTTTTTTATTGCATCACGCAGGAAAATAATGTAGGATCAGGTCGGTAATAATAGCTTCCTATTTTATCTATGCGTCAGCACAACAAGAATGCTGTCTTAATAGTCAAAGGTGTGTACAGCCTTTGACTCAACTTATACTCCTGAGCAAGCATGTGCTCTAAATATCGATGACGATGTTAGTCAGCTGCTAGGGACTTTAGCCGATGATACGCTACCTCAACAAATAATAAAACTTCTGTCTAGTCTCGGGCATATTTTAAATTGCTTTAAAAAACATGCTTCTTCTCTTTCTCGCCCCCCCCCCCCCCACACACACACGCAACGAACGCACACATTATAGTTGTGGGTAAAATCATAGTGATAACAGACATAACCCAGTTAGATTACACTATAAATGCTTGATTTAGCACATAGCAATATATTTAAGATAACAGGCAATTTGGAAGTAAATTGTAAATCTGCACACACACGCACTTGGTGTGGGGTTCGGAGGGTGGAACGGTGTCATTTGGTGCGGTTTAGAATCATGATTCAGCTAAGCAAAATTCTAATTTCAAGAGGGGACAAGAAATCTGGGTTAGGCTACACTGTAAGCCTCTCTTATCCCTACCACATCCCACACACAATAGCCTCGGTTCCTTCGCCTTGTGAAGTAAGCACTTATCCCCCCCCCCCCCTGTTCAGAAAGCACAGCAAGCTGGAACTGACAGCTAGTTTATGTGGATTCTCGGGAAATGATGTAATATCTGCGGTATATATATATATATATATATATATATATATATATATATATATATATATATATATATATATATATATATATATATATATATATATTCATACTTTCTGCACCAGACTGAGCTTGTGAAAATGTACATAGATAAGGTTATAGCAGCAATAATAATGATAATGTAATAGTAAAATACATAGATAAATAGCACCAAAATACATGTATAGAAATGCACCAATGTTTCTACTATGTGAACTAAATATTCGTATTTATAGTAATAATTGATAGACATCAGGAAGTTGAGGATGTAGCACAGTTTCTTTTGTTAAAAGCAAGATTAAGGAATTTGGCCAAGGAAATTATCACTGTTTCGTTTGGATTGCACATTATAAAGTGGAATTTATCTTTGTTGTTTAAATGTGCAAAGCACGTGTGGCTGCTTTGTATTATTTTAAAGAGTTCTTTTCTGTGTTCTGTATACAGAGGGCAGGTAATTAAAAAGTGCTCTTCATCCTCTATAACTCCAGAGTGGCAGATTTGGCATGTTCTGTCTTCGACTGGTGTTGGCTTACGCTTTACGTGGCGACCTGTTTCTTTGTGCAAATTGTGGCTGCTGATTCTGAATTTGGTTAGGGTTTGACGTTTTTCTTTATCTTGTATTATATCAAGATATTTTTCTTTCTCAAAATGAAGTTTGAAGGTTTTATACCTTCTCAATTTGAGATTTTCTTGTGATATCCTACTATGCCAAAGTTGTATACTACTGTCTCTAAGTCTAACACTAAAAATTTTCATGAAGTTTTTGTCTACTTTCTGTTTGACCCATACGTCTCCGAACCCATTTTCTACAAGAATTTTCTTTACTCCTGCACTCCATGACATACTATGGCGTGTGTTGTGAAGGTTAGTATATGACAAAAGATCAAAGTGTTTTAGTTCATCTAAGCATGCCCGTAGAACACCATCATCTAAGTGTAAAATTTTGACCCAGTATTTGATAACTTGTATTTGGATTTTTGTGTAGCTTGGTAGGCGCCCAAGTTCTCCTCGGACAGCATAATTCCAAGACTTAGAATGCACCCCTAGAAGCTGCTTGCAAAACTGAAGATGTATTTTTTCTATTGGTGATTTATCATTAAATGGAGTGAACCCCCATATTTCTGCTCCATATGTTGCAACTGGGGAAATCAGCTTTTCTTTTAAGGAGATGGGAATGGTACTAGCTAGAGGAAGATTGCGCTTGAGACTGAAAAAGGCCTTTTGTGCTCTGTCATGTAAATTTTGCTGTGCAGGGGCTAGCGAGCCGGATCTTGTGAAAAGGAGACCAAGGTATAGGTAGCTTGTTGCTACTGGTACCAACTGGTTATGGAAATAAAACTTTTCTGTATTAACCCCAGTGTGACCATGTATTTAAGTTATACTATTTGAGATACTATTTTGAGTTTAGTGTTAAATATTTGACATTAGTTCTTACTTTAAATGCATCATAAATATCAACACTTACACAGGTGAATCGTGACAAATCTTCAATATCAATTGATACAACAATATCTTATGTATTCATAACTTTTGTCAACTTACACTTATTCCGATACGGCAGATCAGTTCCTCCTGTGAAAGATTTAAGGGTAAAAAAAAAAAAAAAAAAAACATGCGTCATCTTTGACCCCCTAAACGTACAAGACCTTACAGTACTCAAGAATGTAATGTAATTATAGACTTTATGTAGAATGAGGGGATTCCCCTTGACAAGCATTTGTATATATCCCCGCGCACATCAGAGCAAATGGGGACAAGTTGTTTTTTAAAAAAGATCATCTTATCTAATGCATCTCTGTAACAAGCACAATAGATTATGCATATAGTCACCGGCTACGTGTTTCACAGAACAAACTTCTACACTGCTGTACGGATAGAAGGTAAGTTGGCAAGGTTTAGAAAATATGGGATATTGTGTTGTATTTATATCACTGGATATCCATATTTTATAAAGGAACGTTTAAAATTATCTGACTCTAAGCTAAACCGCACATGCTACTGTGCATAAAATCGGCTGCTGACAAATTGCTTCATATAAAGTGCTTTATACTGTTATGTTCCCTGTTTATCAGCCATGTTTGAAAATAATTCTAAATATAAAATCCACCAAAACTTATTTTGAAGTGCCATAGGAGTGTTTAAGGATGGACGCTTGTATTTCTTTTCACATTACATTTTCCCATTAGCATGCGGTCATTATCAATATTCAACAGTCAGACAAGTGCTTAAGTTTGGAGCTGGGTCGAAATGTGAACCTCTTTCGCCCACTTGTAAAATCAAACTACATGTATATGTAAACTGTATCCTATCTTCGATACATTATTAACACCGTTTCATATGTGTGTGTTGGGGGGGGGGGGGGGGGGGGGGCATAAAAACAATGCTACCTGCAACCTGCACTGATCATAACTTGGTTGTTCAAAATAAAAATAATTTTTTTAAAAGTTGTATGTGAAGTACCGGTAATAGGGGTTAGCTGTCCTTGGATGTGGGGTTTATGGTAAGTGGAAGAATACATCGCATTTGATATCGACGGTTTAATCAAATGACAAACTATTTTAGGTTGATTCACTAAACCTCACGCTCTTGATTTAAAGTATGCTCCATCAATGAGTGACATCACCTGATATACTGTGCCATTAAAAAGAGGCCATTCACCATAGGCAAATATCCGTGTGAATGATCTTAATTTTTTTTTAACTCAGTGAACATGTAAGATGTAAAGTGGGTTTCTTTTTTCTCTTTGTTTTTCGTTTTACTTATTTTTATTCATTTATTATTATTATTATTTTTTTTTGGGGGGGGGGTAAAGTATCTAATATAATATAAAACCATTACTGCACNTCACGCTCTTGATTTAAAGTTTGCTCCATCAATGAGTGACATCACCTGATATACTGTACCATTAAAGAGAGGCCATCCACCATAGGGAAATATCCGTGTGAATGATCTTAATTTTTTTCTAAACTCAGTGAACATGTAAAATGTAAAGTGGGTTTCTTTTTTCTCTTTGTTTTTCGCTTTACTTATTTTTATTTATTAATTTATTTTTTTTTGGGGGGGGGGGTAAGATATCTAAGATAATATAAAACCATTACTGCGCTGAAATCAGAGGGTTGGTGAAAGTATTGATATTTAGTCTGCTGACAGGGGATGCGTTGGGTGAGATAAAATGTTGTAATGGGAGCAATTCCTATTTTCTGGCGCATTGACAATAGTTACATATATTATTATTATCATTATTATTATACCTCACTGTGACTGTTAAAATATGACTGTTATAACTACTTTAATTATTACTTTCTTGGTACGTTGACCGTTTAAAATAACGACTGACCGACTTTCCAAATTTATCTAGCACAATAGATTGAACATAATAATCATTTTCTCTGATAGTCGATTAGTTCTGTGTCGTATATTTAATAGGATTGACCTCGATATTAACGCAGTACGTTTATTGTATGTT